CCAACATAATTTTTTTTTTTTTTGCAATTTAACAATATTTAAGAAAAATAATTTTCTAATTATAAATGGAAAAGAAAAAGAACATTTACATCCATATCACCCAACCAATATATATTTACATCTCAACATCTAAAATTTGCCTTTTACGTTTCTACCACCCAAATCTACCATATCACAAAAAGTAAAATACACATTTTTCATGCATATATCACAGGACTTATAGATATAAAAAAATTTATATATGCATACCACCCAATATCTAAATTTAGAAAATTAAATTTTTACATACATGCCACCCTATATATGTATGGAAAGATATATTTTCCTTTCTAAAAGTAAACATGATGAAATTTTAGAAGCGCTGTAAGAGATTTGGATGGTATAAATATAAAAATATATTTTAAGTATTATATATGTAAATATAAAGGAGTTGGGTGGTATATATGTATATGACCTTTATAAAAAATTGAATTTTATATTTTATATAGGTAAATACAAAGAATTGAGTGGTATGTATGTAACTTTTAAGAAAAAAAAAAGAAAAAAAAGGTATTTTATCACAAATTTAGTTAGCATTTATAGGCAACACATTTGGTTTTGAGTTAGGATGCGTTTGGGGAGGCTTGTGGATTTCAGAATAAACAACTTATCCTGAAACGCAGCCCGCCCATCGATCACAGGATTCGACTCACGGTCTGCATTTAATGTAAAAATGGAACCGTGTTTTCAGATAAGCGGGCAAAACACGCGATCCAAACGATACCGCGGTGTTTTCAAAAACACCCCCACACTTATAAGCTACCCCAATTCATATTTCCAATAAAATCGAGCTAATAAAATGACAAAGTTTAATTAGATAACAGCTAAAACATAAAATTTTGAATTTCATGTTCATCAGGAGAGTGTAATTTATAAGCCAAACTCTTCCAATACACAGGATATAGCAAGACACCAACAATGACTTTAAAGTTAGTTAATAGAAAAAGCTCTCTCGGATTTTATTTAAGGGGCATTTACATATGTGCCCCATAATTCTTATAAATTTACATATCTAACACCCAAACCTTTACTTTTATTTTTCAAACACTCAATTCTTTCAGATCACATCAAAAAATAAAACCCATTAACTTCTTGAAAGCTAAATGCACCTTTTCCAATATAAAAAAGAATTAAGAATTTATAGAAAAAGACCAGCAGGTTATGATGAAGAAAAAACAACAATAATAATTACAAAAATGCAAATAGGAACAATTGACAACCTCTGTACCCCAGCAACTAACTGTGGAATCAAAAGAACAAACAAAATAAACCATAATCCTTTACACACCCAGAATCTATCTACCACAATAGCAAAAAGAAAGGAAGAAAGAAGAAAGAGATAGCACAATTTACCGATCGAAGGTGCGTCGATGAAACCAAAATGTGACCCGCCAAGACGAAAAAGAAGCTTTCCGATACGTAAGATGACAGTATGAACCTCCCATTTGTCCAGTCCTGGAACATAAATGTGACCCGCCAAGACGAAAAAGAAGCTTTCCGGTACCCCTCCCATTTGTCCAGTCCTGGAACATAACTCTCTAAGTCCAATTTGAACACCATTTATTAAATAGAACCTACTGTTGAAATCATGAGAGGATAATGGCTGAAACTTTAGGATCTCAGTCAATGAGTTGAAGTTGAGATCTGAAAACTTCAGCAAAGCAACTAGAAAAGGGTTCTGGTTTTAAATACCAATCAAGAATGAGGATATGCTGAAAAGGGGGATCTAAGGATATCACAAATATGAAAAAAAAAAAAAAACCTGATTTTGCATAAGGAATTCATAAAGCCATTAAGAATCTAATTTGATGAATCAATGTCCTTTCCATGATCTTCTTCATTGATTGCTCTTCTCAACCTTCTCAGCCATATGTCATAGTCCATATGGTAAGGTGTCCCACACAAGCTGTCCACATAATCAGCAAAGGCTTTTAGCACGGCCGAGACCTCCCCGAGCTTCTGTTGTATGACGCGTCTCGACCATGATATTTCCCTCCACTCGAGCGCTCCTTCCACCGAATCGAGATCAGGGAAAACCCCACCGCAAGAGAAGTAAAGCAGGTAGACCAAACTCTCGGCATCAGACGCCGCACAAAGCTTCCCTTCTTGTAAAGCATATGTAGACGAGAAGTATAGATTCATTGCCGGTCGGTCTTTCTCTTCCAAAACAGCATGGCCCCAACCAATGAGAACGAAGAAAGGACGTTTTACATTGGAGATAACATAAATAACACTTTCAGGGCGAATATCACCGTGTCTAATTCCGACCGATGATGCCGCCGCAATAGCAGATAGGCAGTCATGGCAACATCTGAGAGCTTCCTCAGGGCCAAATAATCCATTTCTCACCATGTAGGAAACAGTTTCCCCATATGGAGAGGTTGCCAGTATGGGAGTCCCACACCATGGATGACTGCAATTTTCACCGGTGCTTGGTCGATTGCATTGACCTGGGTGAACGATTCTCCCAGAAGCGATGGCTTGAGGAACATGTTTGTTTGACAATCCTCTCTGGTTCATCAAACTCAATATTTTTGTCTGTCTTTGAACCTGGTACCACAGATTTAAATCCATATGAGTTGGAGATGAACCCACATACAAGATCAGCACCTTAGATTGCTCATCCATGAGAGTTGCACTGTATATTGGAACTTCTGTATCTGACAATCTGCCATTAATCTGAAAAGCCTTTTGCCAGTTAGAGTCCTCCAAATATATAACAGAACCCTTTTCGATGTTCAACGTTTCTTCAGGTACAGTCTTAATGGATTCTTCTTGGACTTCAACGATTTCAGGAGACATGCTGCGCTGCTGGAAGCGAAACATAGCATTTCCATTAACCTGTGTATCGACTAAATGTCTTTCGGTTCTCCGTGTTTGCAGACGGGAATTATGCTCTGTGGCTAATTCTTCAGGTGAATATTTTGGGATTCCACAAAACTGAACCATGGAATGGAATGTTGCAAGCAAGATTTGCAGAGTTCCAACATCTCCCCAGTTGGCATTACCAAGCTTGTTCCACACCCTATCAATGGTAGAAATACTGATTTTAGCATGTTTTCTAATCCATTCAGCAGCGCACTCATACACATTATGGGCATGAAAGTCCAACTTATTTATATCACCTTCAAGTTTCACTACTCCCGCATATTGAGAATCAACTAGGAGCACAAAAACACAGTTTGAGTTGCGAAGAGCAGCAGATGATTTGCTGAGGCTTCGCGAGACAAGAACACGGATAGCGAAGAATAGCGCCTCACCCAATACAGAGTGAGGTTGTTCCTGCTCTGCCTGTATTGAAAGAGTCCCAACGTCAGGCCTTAACAAAGTTAATTCCACAATCTGGTCCCATCTTCCATGTGAATTTCCACCGTTTTTTAACAGTATGGCTGTCGCACAAAGACCATCGAGCTTCCCACTGGCAATGGCTTTCTCAGCAGGGTAAAATTTAGAACTTGTACTATGAATACATGCAACAGAAAAGGGCATAGGCAAGTCTTGATCCCAAAACGTCTCCCATAAACCCTTGAGGCCTGCATGTAAAAAGTCTTCAATGGCAAGATGTGCCGTCGCTTCCACAGCATCAGAAGTTGATGCCTGAAGAGCATTTGGCATTCGAATCAATTGTTGAAAAGGAACGCCTTCTAATGCATAATCAAAACTCTGAAGTTCAGTTATCTCAAACGGAACATCAAAAGCTGGTTTCCTAAAATTTGATTCTTCGTGAATTCCTGAGAACCAATCTTCAAGGCTTACAGTTAAACTCTCGCTATCTACAAATTTCCGAAGGAAGTCTTTACGGTTAGAGGATGATGAACCGTGATAACGAGCACCAGCCGATGTAATAGACCTTTTGGGAACAGATCCAGTTGAGGTACGATCAGGAGACTTACCTATAGAAAAAGCAAAGGGAAAAAACTACACGTTGGACTTCTTTGCACAAGAGCTAGCAACATGGTGAAGATTATGGTCAATATAATAATGGTACATATTACAAGAAAAAAAAAATTATGTTAGCGCCCTCAATTAAAGAATCTATTCTTTCGCTAGTAACATCGCTAAAGAGAGCTTAATAAAGAAGTTCTGAGAGAAGATATATTAAAAAGAACAAAAAAAGTTGAGAATTGTAAGACATGAAGGATACACTTAAACGACAACAGCTGAATTGCAAGTAATGCAGATATTAAGAACCACCATACTAAACAAGTAGTATGGCTATGAATGCCCTAGTTCCTACAAAGATGGATCTGCACTTCAGTATTAGGGGCAATTATAATACGGGATTCAATTGGAACAATTATGTTGATATTGGGTTATGTGAATGAAATTATAATAATCACATATAAAACTACAAGTTGCGCTATTAAACATACGGGATTAAAACCAAAGAGAAGATAAACACTCAAAATAGTGATCCTCTAAACAAATTCTCAATAGTTGATTTTCATTCAACATTGATGGTAGAAGCTATAAACAAGCATAGCAAATTCTGATGTGGTCAGAATATGAACTGAAGACTACAAAACATTGTCCCTGTGAATATTACGGTGCAGTTAATAATTGAAACACGATGTATACCATGATCATAATCTCTAATAACTTCGAAACAAAATTACATCCAGTGCTTTAAGTTCAAATAACCACTGTTCATTTTGATAGAAGACATTAATGAAAACAGTAACGATCAAACAATTCCATGATTAAGAAATTCTGGTAATGTAGTAAACACAACATGTAAGAACAAATAGTTGGGAAAGTGGTAATTATGTAGAGCCTACAAAGCTGCTGGGATATCAAGTAGCTATTGCAGATTGGGAAGGTCTACATGGATAGAATAGATGGTATCCATGTAGACTAAACAAAGGTATTGGGATTGGGTAGGTTATGTAAAAATGAGCTAGTTTTGGATCTACAAGACTGCTACATATTTAAACCATTTGTTCCTACATGTTGAGAATGAAAGACATCAAGGAAAACAAGAACAATCAAGCAACTCAATAATTAAGCAATTCTCGCTAAATCCATGGCAGGAAACCTAAACATGCTCCTATATCAGGTCTTTTAAAAATAAATCAATATGAAAACTAAATATGCATGCAATAACAGAAACGTAGCACTACAATTACAAGCATTTCGTTGGCATAAAAGATAAACTTTTCTAGCCAATCTACAGTTATTGAGCACAAAACAATCAAGGGGAAATACAATGCTAACAGATGAGATGTTGAATTTAATGGATAATAACAGATTGCAAACAATTAAAAAGAAAAAAAACGTTAGCACTAGGACCAAATCAGGCTGAGTAGAAATTCTGAAAAAAGTCCTGTCCAGGTAAGAGAAGCATCCAAGAAGCGACCTTAGTTTTAGGAAAGAAAAAAAAACAAAGTTAATAGTGCTTGCTCCATGGTTCCTGTAATTGAGCATTGAACTGTTTTGCAAGGCACATAGAAGATGTGTTAGGAGACTTTTGATTACGCATTCAAATGTGATTTAATAAGCATATCTTCATGTATTCAAAGTAAATTGAATCTCTGCTTCAAATATAATCTGTTTAAGGGCCCGTTTGGGCCAGCTTATAAACGCCGCCGTTATGTTTAGTTCGCACTTATTATGAGATTATCGAAACTTGCGTTTTTCATTTTGTAAAAGACGCGGACCCCCGCAATCCGCGTTTTCGAACGAAATATTTAGGCCTCTGTCCCTACCTTTAACGCATTCGCCCGTGACCCTGTACGCATTCGCCCTCTCTGGCATTTCTCCTTCGCATCGCATGCCTTAAACGATCCTAGGTCGACGATACGGTGTGTTTTCCCTCTTCTTCGACATCTTCACTCACATTCGGCATTTCCTTCTTCGTCATTTCTCTCACCAGGTATAACTATTCCTTCGCATGTCTTATCTTCCTTCATTTGCAACCGTTCAGGAAATGCGGTTAGATTTTTTTTTTTTTGGATTTTTTTCTGTGCATCTGCAAAGGGAAAGATAAGAAATGTGAACGATGATGTTATTTTTTTTTTTTGTGGTTGCGAAAAATGATGGATTTGAACTGTTTAGATGTGAAATTACTAGATCTTTCTCATTGCTTGTGACAATTGGGTGGTATATTGCTCTTTTTGCTGTTGAAATTGTGGCCACTAGCTATGGGTTGAGAAAATTTCAATAAATCCCATCTCATCATATGCTTATATGGCATGAAATTTTATGTATATTTTCATCAGAAGTTTAGGATTTCTCTTTTATATATTTTTCGTCTTCATTTGCCTTGATCAATTTTGAAGTTAATTGTTTTTAAGAACACTTTGAATAGTTTCACTTCTGATCATTCAATTTATGAGGATATAAAATGAAAGGGAAGCTTGTTGTGCATAAGATCTTTTATAAACTGTGAGAAATCAAAATACTACCCTTTGCAATTGTATGATTTAAGTAATACCTGAATGTGATTACTTTTAGTGGTATTTACATACATACCACACAATTCTCATGTATTTACATATGAAAGGGAAGCTTGTTGTGCATATGATCTTTGATAAACTGTGAGAAATCAAAATAGTACCCTTTCCAATTGTATGATTTGAGTTATATCTGAAGGTGATTACTTTTAGGGGTACTTACATATATACCACACAATTTGCATGTATTTACATATGAAAGAGAAGCTTGTTGTGCATATGATCTTTGATAAACTGTGAGAAATGATATTTGATGAGTTAAATGATCTTTGTTGTACATACCACACAATCCTATGCTTAAGAAGGCTTTTGAAGAGTTAATCGATATTTCCAAATGAAAATATATCCATCCTTAAGAAGGCTTTTGATGATTTAAATGACTTTTGGTTTTTTATGGATTTCTAAGAATTGGTATGGTTAATGTGGATTTAATGAGAGGAATTTTCTTCACTATGTATGGAGAGTTTCTTCACTATGTTGGAGAGCATATTTTTTTAATGCTTCATCAATATTATTGCTATGAAAAAAATATTTTCTACTTAACTACAATCACTCCACCATTTGAAGCAACACAATGTCAATCATTCGAAAAGACATTTATCATTCTATAATTCTTAACAACAACAATTATCACAATTCTACAAAGAAGAGTTCCTAAAAGTGGATAATTCATGCATAACCAAGGTTGTTTTCATAAAGTGGGGAGATATTACAGAAATGTGAATACCATTACCTACATTGGATAGAATTAGGTCTTAGTCCTTCCTCTAGCATCAGCAATGTAAACTCGTGAAGAGGACCTTGGTTCAAATTTTATTTAATGTGATAAAAAGCAAGGTATGAGCTCCATATATAATGTGTTAATAAAGTCAAAATTTCCTAAACTAGCGTTTGATCATAAAAACTCATATCCTAAATCAAGGTAAAGCACTCACATCACTATATAATGCCTTAAGGTAGGATGCAAGCCTAAGCATGTCTTAATAATGGCACTCACCTAAGCACGCTTTAGAGAAAATGTTCATCTAAGAGAAGTGTGATAAAATATGGCCTAATTCTATTTTCATGATTCAAACTGTAGACAACCAAATTATTAAGGTGAGAACCTCATTATTGGTCCAGCTCCACCCTTTGAAAAAAATATATAAAAAGCAATTTTTGCTAACTTGGTGATGATATTGAACTGAATGAAAGTACTTTGGTGCATGTAATCAAGTTGAACCAATACAGTAAGTAATTGAAAGTGCAAAGGTTACCGAGACTATTATGTTTACTAAAGTCTACAATAAATAGAAACTAAAGTTAATAATGACGAGGAAAGTTTAAAGGCATGCCACGAGTTCTAAACACAAAATAAAGCTCATCCAATCTATGGCCAACCCCAACTCAAAGCAAATGACAATTAAAAACTTTTATCAAGCACAACACCACTTTCTTTAGCAATGTTTTCTACTAACTTGTTTTTTTCAAAAAAAAAATATAATGTATCGGCTTTAGATTAGAAGAAAAAAAAAAAAAAAAAAAAAAAAAAAACTTGAAACTACAAGTGCACTCCCTAAATGACTTCAAGTTCATGTGCAATGCACTTGCAAAATAATTTGCCATCTCCAAAACAGTGGTGATGAATGTTTCACACAACGCAATTCCGTAGCAATTCCGTAGCAGCATAGGATTATCAAATGAGGCCAATAAAATTAATGCCAAGAAACCACAGCCCTAAACTAAGAAAAAAAGTGTTTGCCCACTTCAAACTCCAAATGCACCACCTTTCTCACTCAAAACCCTGAATCGAGTTATATTCCTATTTTTATGTTTTTACTTGTTCGTCATATGTTTGATTACATGTAACAAGGTTCCAGTGGTAATTCAACTAACTGGTATTGCCCTTGCTCTCTAAATAATAGGTCAATAATCCAAATCATTCCAAGTAAATGAAAGAAGAATACCAAGTGAGCGTTCGGCATAACTAGTTGTAACTGATATTCCCGAGCAAAAAGTCAAAAGAGCGCTGATTAATGAAAAGATAGGCATTGCAGAATTACCTTCCATTTTATTTACGATCTGCTTGTTGTGGCTTGACATATCCGTCTGCGAAATAACATCCACATTTGCTTCCACAGGCAATCTTAAAATGTCCGCCGCAGGACCCCTACCCCTCAACACCCACACAATTCAATTCTTCTTTTCCTTTTTTCTTAGCCTTCAACATCCAGCGCCCATTGACAGACTGCAAGATAAACCGTTTCTGGAAAGCAAAATTTGAAGTCATTACATTATTTTTGTGCGAAAAATAGCTACTCTTCATCAACAATTATCTATAGAAACCACCAATAAATGAATCAAAAACCGAACACAATTGCATAGCATATAATTTTCAAATTCAGAAAGAATACAAAGACAAAAGCTAAAGAAAAGCCTAGTAGATATATAAGATAACCAAACAGCGTGGGAATAAAAAAAGTGTTGAAAAGCTGAGAAGCCATCATCACCTCGTGCCTGCAAAAAGAATCGGTAGAAAAAAAAAATCTACAGAAGCCATCCCGGCAAACAATTTCTCCAACAAAGCAACACAATAGCTGTCAATTCTTCTTAATTCAAAACTCCGCACCACGACCAAATCTACAAGACAGCTACTGAAACCCTAAGATGTAAGCTCAGATCGAAGACTAAGCCCTCACTTCATGAGCATTGAAGAAAACCCTAGAGACGAGAAGCTTGGGGTTTTTGAATGAGATTTGACCACTTTTTCATCATTTTTTCATTTCTTTTTTTTTTCTTTTTTCTTTTTTTCTTTTCTTTGGTGTGGGCCGATGACAGAAGGCCAATTTGGCCCTCTTAGTGACTAGAAATTACTATTACTGCCACTGGTTACTGGTGAATAGCTTTGGGCCTTTTGTCGATCTGTGCGGCGGTATTCGTATTTATCTGAGCCGGTATTTTACCTGTAGACGTGCCATTTGTCAGTATATCATATCGCGAAATTAACGCGAGAAGAAATGATCAAGATGTGCTGTAAACTTTATCATTAGCTCGCCTGATAAATTTAATTATTGCATAAATAAAGGCTGCAGGAAAAAGTCTAAATTTTAAAAATAGCTAATTTTTTCATAAAAAAAATGTATAAAGGTGTTAGAGAATAATTCTTCAAAAAAATTATTTCTCCAATGTGATTTAAATTAAGGGTTTTTATGTGTGGAGATTTCCAAGGTAACCAACCTGAAACCTTTTATTTACCCTTGAAGGACTTCATCATGCTTATGGCTGTCAAAACAGCTCGTTGTTCGCGAACAGCTCGTGTTCGCCTAATGAGGAGAACACGAACAAAGATTTGTTCGTTCGTGTTCGGCTCGTTTTGGCTTGAAATACTACTCATCAATTATATATATATATATATATAAATTAATTGACTATAAGGCTAGAGATATTTAAAATCAATTAAAAGTATTAATATTAAGAAAATAGAATAAAAATTATTAAATTGGAT